CCACCCATGCTTCGTTCTACTTGTGCACTGACCCGGAGCAGCCTGCAATGATGCTTGTGGTGCAACCATGTCCTCGTAACTAGCATATAAGCCGCGCAAGCGTCCACACCCATGCACTCCCCAGCCCCGTCCACACCCAAGCCATGCCGTCTCACTCCCCTCCAACTCCCTTCCTTCTTCCCTCCCCACCCATGCGCCTCCCATCTCGCTCCCCTCCATCTTCATACGCCCCCCGTCTCGCTCCCCTCCATCTGCCCTTCCAGCCCCGACCCCACGCGCCTCCCGTCCCACCCACGCGCCTTCCGTCGCGCTCCCCTCCACCCATGCACCTCCATCTTCCATCCCCAGCCCCGTCGCCTCCCGTCTCGCTCCTCTCCATCTTCCCTCCCCAGCCCCTGGCGTACTTCGCCGCACGGCCTCCGACGGATCCCCAGTTTGGGCCACGTGGCGTTGGGCGCGTGGCAGTTCCGTCTTTCGTCGGGTTGGCTTTTGGATGTATCATATACCTGGAACCTGAGTGACCCCTGTTTTGGAGGGTCAACTATCCCAAATATGGCCTTTTCCTGTCAAAAAAGGTGTCAAACGGATTCTAGGTGTATATAATATATATCAACTGGTTGTTTTCAATCTGCAGCTAGTCTCCAATAACATTGCAACATGGCTTCTGACAACCGTTCCAGGAAGCCTGGAGCAGTATCGGCCCCCTCCAAGGTTCGTTCCAACCGTACAATTTCCCACGTTGCGCTTGTGGCGCATAACGCTCCTCCCGTGTCGGCCATGCCTTGACTGTCTGGCACATGTACTGTGCACATTTTGGACACCCAGCCCCATCGTATCAGCCCCGGAGCTGTACTCACCACCCAACACACGTCCACGAAGCATGGACCAGCGCTACCCCCACCCATGCTTCGTTCTACTTGTGCACTGACCCGGAGCGGCCTACTAGTACCATGATGCTTGTGATGCGACCATGTGCTCAACGCAACATTGCCTGTCGCAGGCATTGTGCACATTTTGGACACCCAAGACCATACCTAAGCCCCGCAACACTGCTCCATTCACCTCCCAACGTCCCTCCGCGAAGCTGGACCAGCGCTACCCCCACCCATGCTTCGTTCTACTTGTGCACTGCCCCAGGGCAGCCTGCGCTGATGCTTGTGGTGCGACCATGTGCTCAATGCAACCATGTCTGCCGCGTGCAGTCTGCACATTTTGGACACCCAAGACCATACCTCAGCCCCGCAACACCGCTCCATTCACCTCCCCACGTGCCTCCGCGAAGCATGGAGCAGCACCACCCCCACCCATGCTTCGTTCTACTTTTGCACTGCCCCAGAGCAGCCTGCAATGATGCTTGTGATGCTTGCGGGCTCCCGTCTCGCTCCCCACCCACGCGCCTTTCGTCTCGCTCCCCTCCATCTTCTCGTCCCCACCGATGCCCCTCCCATCTCGCTCCCCTCCATCTGTTCCCTCCCCAACCCCTTCCTTCCCCTCCCTTCCTTCCCCTCCCTTCCTTCCCCTCCCTTCCTTCCCCTCCCTCTTCCTTCCCTTCCCTCTTCCCTTCCCAACCCCGTCCACCTCCACCTCCATCTTCCGTCCCCGACAACGTAAGCTTTTCCTCGCTCTCCCCCGGCACTAGCGACTAAACGAGAACCCAAGCATCGGAGATGCTTTTGGGAAAAAGTTTAAGGGGTAGGTATCATGAAGGACCATGAATCAAACTGATCAAATTGGACAGCGTGTTCAACAGTTGTAGCAGGTACGTTTGCAGCCCCCCCCCAGTGGCCTCTTCGTTGGCCATCCGCCACTGGGGAGGGGGATGGCCCCCTGCTGTGAAAAAGGTAGAAGTTGGCAGTGAACCCTTTGGCACAGGGGTTGACACACACAGGTCGCCGTAATCGGCGCTTTTTCTTTTCAAAAACCGGCTGCAAGCAGTTGGGTGGTGTCCTTTTGGGACGTAGAGCTGCACTAGCTCAGTGGCAGCAGCGTCAGCGCTTGAAGGTGGAAAGGTGTATGAGCTGGTGCTTGTCGACGTGCTTGAGGATGTGCTGGTGCTTGTTGACG